AATCACTCTTTCCCCAGAAATGTCATTTACGTTGATCTGTTTATATCCCCCTCCTTCAGCAAAGAATATTTTTTATGAACAACTACAGATATTACTTAAATATCATGCTATAAATAATAAGTCTAATGAAATAATTGTAATGGGAGATTTTAATGTCAACTGGGACTGTGAAAAGGACAGAAAAACACTCAAGGGCATAATGGAGACTTTGAACTTTACTCAACACTTTGAACAACCCACAAGAATAACAAGACACTCTAAAACTAAAATAGATCTGGTTTTCAGTAATAAGCCCGAGCGAATTATTAAATCTTATAATTTTATCACTGGTATTTCAGACCACAATTTTATATTATTTTCTAGAAAACTTATAAAATCACGGGTTAAGAATGACTTTCAAAGTTCATCTAATAGGAGATCCTTTTATGAATTCATCCCACCACCACTGTCATGTGTTAAAAAAACATAAATTACTGAACTTCAATAACTTAGTGAAACTTAAAAGAGTGAGTTTAATATATAAAGTCTTACACTCCCTTGCTCCACCACCACTAAAGCAGTTCATTAAGCATAAAGAAAGCTCAGACAGGACCACTCGAGCTACAATCCGAGGAGACTTGTTTATACCCCACAGACGGACAGCATTTGGGCAGAACATCCTTTCTGTCCAGGGTGGCCATCTGTGGAACAGTCGTCCTCAACCCATTAGAGAATGCTCGACACTCAATTTGTTTAAGGCACAGGTTAAAAACTGGTTATGGACAAATCAAGTGTGTGATCATGTATAAGTTGTATAGTTTTAATGTTTTATTTGGGAACAGAAAGGTGTGTATGTGTAAGTTTGGTGATGGAATTTTTATTATGAATGAATGATGAATTTTTATGAATTATTATGTCTATTTTTATGCTTAAGGACAACAGATGGAAATTAGCCCTTGGCTATAATCTGGTATGTTTACATTCATGTAATTTTTTTCTTTACATTTATGTTCATTAACATGCACTGTCCTAAATAAATAAATAAAATCCAATCTGCATGTTGAAAGTGGTCAAAGTGCCCCAGGTGCACCCATCGAATTTACACGTCTGCATGAAAACTAAATGAGGGTAAATATGCGAATACAGACTGCAGGGTTTAACATGCTGTGAGTGTTCACTGTGGAGAAGCGCAACATGAAACCCACTGATGTCTGAACACGGTTGGCGTGGAACGAATAATTAGCAGCTAACTAACCCTATGAACTACATAACTGTACTCAGTATTCTTACAGTGTCATAACAAATGTAACCTTTATAAGACAGAACTGAAGAGAAGGGGCTCTGAAACAGAGCCTGATGATCAAGAGTAAATTTAAATAATGTTCTAAGCTGGAAACGATCTTTTACTTCAACAACACACAAACAGAACCGCGACACAAGCAGGACTCATGGAAACAATCCGGTCATTAAGTCTGATGTCATCAGCCGTGCCTGAGCCCAAACTCCGCTGCAGGTCAAATGAACACTGCAGCATCACTGAGAGTTAAAAGCTGTCTAAATTTTTCATCTTTAATAAAACGATCAGCGTTGCTGCTTTACCAGGTGTAACAATTAAGTTTAACATCCAGGCTTCCATGAAAATAAAAATTATTAAATTTAACAGAGTTAGAAGTTAGCAGGAAGTTAGCTTGCTAGCTTCCATCTAAACATGATATAGCATGTTCTGACTGAGAGATTTATGAAACAATTCAAACGTACAGCTCTGCTATCACTTCCAACATAAATGAAGACAGAAAACTAAACGGCAGTGACGTTTGTAGGGTTACTGAAGTTGGGCTAATATAATGATGTGCTACGTGATCGCTAGCGACACAGCTATGTTAGCATAACATTAGCACAGTGAAGCTGGAGGATGAGCGCTAACTTATTTCCACTCGATAAAAGTTAACGTGAGGGTTCAGAATAGTTAGGGACAAATGCAATAGCATGGCAGGATGCTGTAAACGGACCAAACTTCAGTCAGGAGAACAACCGAGATAATCCATCCACAATACGAGGTTAGTCATTAATATACTGCTGCATGGGCTGTAGTTACATCGGAAGGTTTTAAAAACTGAGCTTTAAAATGAACAGTAGTAATAAAAACTGAGAAAAGCTGACAGTGATCACTGACTGTTTTTAGGGGCTTGTTGAGATTAAATAGAACAAGATACAAAACATTCAAACATGTTAAAAACACAAAAGCCTTATTAAGCGTAGAGTAGTTTGGGCCCGGAAGCAGGATTCATCTCGTCATCACTTAAAGACCAGATAGTCTTCTCAACATGTAGTTTGAGGCTCTGCTGCCCTCTGCTGGTTTTTTCTGGACATTAAATTCAATCAGTTCAGCTTTAGTAATACAGCACCAAGCGATAATCAATCGATAGGGGCCTCAAGGTGCTTCATGCTGCCCTGACAGGTGTTACAGGCCTGGACAGGGGCAGACATTGTTGGCGACACATTGACAAACTGCTCTATAAAGCAGCGGCCCCCAACTCCCAGGCCACGGACTGGTACTGGTCTGTGAGTCGTTTGGTACCGGGCCTCAAGAGTTGAGGCTCGGGTGTGAAATGTATGGTTTTCAGGGTTTTATCGTTAACTCGGCTTCCCTGGGTCTTTTCCCGTGTGTTATGAATAAATTTTCTAAACAATTTAGTGAACTTTATATTTCTTTTGTAGTTGTGTGTCTTTACTTGAAAAAAATATTTACGCGTTACCATAGCAACCAGAGAGCATTAAGGGGCAGAGAGGAGGATGTTACTCTCAATGTTTTTTCAAGAGCACGCTGCTAATAAAGTAAAACATTTACACAGTGAATTCACATTTATTATTATATTTACAAAATACCACAGTTTTTGTTTTGGTCGTATCATTTTATTTTGTTGTATTTATCTGCCACACCTTAAAGGCCGGTCCATGAAAATATTGTCTGAATATTAAACCAGTCTGTGGCGCAAAAAAAGGGTTGGGGACCGCTGCTCTTAAACACAAGCCAGAAAACAAAGTGAGGCAGAAATGATGTCACCGGGATCACAGACATTTACCTCAAAGAGATCATAGTCAGCAAATACAGGTATACATTTCCCAGCATGCTGTCTTTTTTTGACTTATTAAATCAAAAAATCTATCTAAATTGTGGTATGTGAATTGTGGTATGTCCTGAGATTTGATTTTCACACAGGTGTCATCCACATATCTGAACCAATGACTTGGTGGTGTTCTGAGAGTGGTCCTGTTGCTGACGTTGGGCTCATCCTGTAATCTCTTACAAATTATCTCCAACACTTGAGTGACTGGAATACAAGTGAAGGGAGATGTAACATCGTGCGAGACCATTGTTTCATCTGCCTCCACAATAGCATCTCTCACCTTTCAACAAAATCCAATGTGCTCTGGATGTTCAGGTGTTCAGAGCTGCCTACCAACGGGCTGAGGATTGAAGCCAGAAGGAAGAACTCCCTTTAAACACAAAGTGGCCCATACCTGCTTCATACCCTGGAGGACGGGGCTGTGGCTCCCCACACTCCCTAGCAGATCGTTACATGGAGAAACCTTTGGAATGCAAGCATGCTGATCCACACAGGTATGCACACAGGTGTACACACGGGTATTCACAGACGCGGACTACAGCTTTCTTGGCTGCTGCCTCAAAGCACATTGTGCGCTGTCTATCTTGCGTGCTGCACAATATCGTTTATTATTTAGTATCTACTGATATCTACTGCTAGCTAGTTTATTGTGATGGTGCTGTTTTTATTATGTTGCTCTTTGTTGTTTGCTTTCTCTTCTGTTTTTTTTTCTCCATACAGGTGACCCAGGTGTTTTGTTTGTTTTTTTTTCTTTCTTCCCCCCTTCTCACCGTCTCTTCTCCCCTTTGGTTTTCTTTCTCTCCCTCTCTTTCTTTCATTCTTTCTCCCTGTCCTATCCCCCAGTCATGTCTGTCCCGTTTGTAGCAACTGAAAATAAAATAAATTCATAATTATAATAAAGGTCAATCAAATGGACCAATATGGCAAGGCCATGATGATCCACTTGGTAAAATAAATCCGCTTGGCATCTTTCTTGGCCTTAAGACAACAATTCTGATGGCTAAAGATCCAAACGGGACACAAAAAAAAAAACAAAAAAAAAAACCACAAAGTGGCCCCACACAGGTTAGGGTTTGAGTGCTACTCAGATGTAATTATACACACAAACACACACACAGGGGATTGAATAAAATAAAATAAAATATTCATTAAAGGTGTTTTTTGTTGATTATTCGTATTGTTGTAGTACGTGTGTGTGTGTGTGTGTGTGTGTGGGGGGGGGGGGGGGAGGTCAAGATCTCTGTCTAAATAAATAAATAAATCTGGGTAAATTCCCAGATGACGAAACATGCAACTATTTTCCTGGTAATAACTGAAATGAGTAAAGAAAATCAACAGCCTATTTATGCAAGATCATTCATAATTTTATTGTGGGGGTTATATTGGCTGGGTCGGATTATTGGGGGGGTCATAACCCACCTGGAAATTACGCCCCTGGATCACTCTGCTGCTACACAACCAATCACTCCTTATTGATTATTGATCAGAGATCATGACCCATTAGTCCACACCTGGTTGTTAGGATTAGCTGTCACACCTGTCACAGCTGAAGGAGCTTCTATGCGAGGGTCAGGAGTTTAGCCCATATGCGCTGTCAGGCCTTAACGTTTGTTCACCTAGAAAAAGAACGTTTTGTTGCTTAATGACGTCAGGACAGGCTTTAGATCACTTCCTGTTTACTGTAGATTTGAGTTAAAACCTGAAATAGCTCGTGAGTAAGCTGCTCCACCTGCAGATTAACCCGTGACAGTCTGAAAGCTTCGCGGACACACACACACACACACACACACACACACACACACACACACACACACACACACACACACACACACACACACACACACACACACACACCGTCCAATCAGAGGAGCAAAGCGTCCTCGGCCCCGCCCCACTACACTTACACACCCCTCCCCCTCCCGTGTCTCCGGTAATCCTCCGCTCTCTCTCGGTGCGGTCGTCATGGCGGAAATTAAAACGGGAATCTTCGCTAAGAACGTGCAGAAGCGCCTGAACCGAGCCCAGGAGAAGGTGAGAGGGGGAGGAGAGGAGGAGCAGGTGATGGAGGTGATGCGGAGGGCGGATGGAGAAGCGGTGCTGGAGGCTGCAGGAGGCCCGGTCACCGCCGCTCTCTAATCCGATCGCTCACACATGAGGATCGATGTATTACTGATCATCCGCTATTGAGCCGCTCGGAGGTCACGTGATTAGCTACGGGCTGAGGAGAAAAATCATCAGAAACGGAGAAATCATCAAAAACAAATAGAGCACGTTCTGATTGGCTGAAGCAGATCGTGATGTCACGTGTGCGGTAAAACGCGTCACACACGTTTTCCTCTTGAAAATTAAAGACGTTAGTGACGTATTTCCCAGGTCCAAGGTCGACAATGTTGTCCACGACGTGATGACGTCATTGTGCTACCTTAGTTTTATTTATCAGGCGCTTTGATGTGATTTCTCTTTCAGGTTCTGCAGAAGTTGGGAAAAGCAGACGAGACCAAAGATGAGCAGTTTGAACAGGTGGTCATCAACTTCCGGAGGCAGGAGGTAAGACGATACCTGGGATAACTAAGTGAAGTGCTTTACAAATACAGGCCATTTACCAGGCTTAGTTTACTTACAGATTTTATACAGAGCTGGAAGGTCGAAGACTTCAATGCTCTGCTCTGGATGTACAGCTCTCACTGACACTTGAAGACAAAGGCCGGATAATTACTGACAAACTGGTTATTAAGCTGAACTTGACTGTCTCCATATTTGACCTCATTATAAACCACTGCTGGTGGGAGCAGGTGTCACAGTCAGACAGTGTATATGTAAAAACACCAATGTTTGATCACTGTTTAATCAGCATTCACATTAATTTCAAAAATTCAAAGACTTTCAATTTTATACAGATGTAAATGTGTAAAATAAGAGTTGCTTTCAAAATAAAAGCAACAAAATTACATTGTGATTTTCTGGTTAACGGTAAGCCATTCTCTGATGGGGAGAAACTGCATGATATATGCTTTAACAAATTTCCCTTTGACCTGAAAGGGGCCAGGCAGCCACGTGACCAGGTGTTTTTAATGCCCAGGCGTGCTGTAGATGAGATCTCAGCCACTCTAACAGATCTGCAGTGGCCTTATTTTCCAGAGATCTGATTCGTTAGTTGGCAGTTAACAGAATATGAGAGGCGAGTACAGCACCACTTACCATGGCAATGTAACCTGGTAAGACGTAAACACTCTGTGTAACCTTGAAAACACAGAGTTAAACTTTAAGTTACCTGGATTCCAAATCCTGTGTCGTAGAGAGCTCAGTTCATGCCTTTAGTGTGAAAAACCTCAGTTTATGTTTGATTTGATTGATATTGTGCATAATCACAACAACGGTTGCCTCAAGGCACTTTGTATTGTAAGATAAAGACCCTATAATATAAAGAGAAAACTCAGACAAGAAACTGGTGACAGTGGGAACGAAAAACTCCCTTTGAACAGGAGGAAACCTCTGCAAAATGTGGAAACCAAATTCTTCCAGTGTAAAATAACTGATATCACATGTTTGTGTGTGCTTTGCCAGACTGAAGGTTCTCGGCTGCAGAGGGAGATGAAGGCCTACATGTCTGCCATTAAAGGTCTGTATGGTTCATTATCTACGTGATACAAACCTCAAATGAAAGAAACGTCTTCAGTGACACTTTGCATGATTCACAGTTTATAATGATCTTTCATTATCTAATGCTGCAACCTACTTGGAAAGTCAGAGCAGCCACAGAAGTAAACAGTCCAAGATGGCGGCAGTCAACTTTGAATCTGTACTGCCACTGTAGTGTATTTGCAACTCACTAAATAAGACATAGAGAGTACTGACCAGGCTCTATCCATGAATGTGCTGCAGGGGAGCTTTTAAGTACAAAAAATATTATTATGCTGTATTGTCAGTAATAACTGAAGGACTCTATCTTGCTAAGAACCAAAGCAAATCCTGTTTTGTTTTCTCACATTGCAAACTTTCTTACTGAAACATATGAACTCAGGAGTGATGCCACTGCTGAATTACGAGGTACCTGGAATGTGGCATCAGTTCATCCTCTGTCTTAAAAAAGCTTTTTTAGTTTCTTCCCCTTCAAGACTACTTTGTTATGATTGGCTGCCCCTCACTAGGATTCTATTCAATATTCAATTCAACTCATCCATCCATCTTCATCCGCTTTATCCGGGGCCGGGTCGCGGGGGCAGCAGCCTAAGCAAAGAGGCCCAGACCTCCCTCTCCCCAGCCACCTCCTCCAGCTTATCCGGGGGAATACCAAGGCGTTCCCAGGCCAGCCGAGAGATATAATCTCTCCAGCGTGTCCTGGGTCTGCCCCGGGGCCTCCTCCCGGTGGGACATGCCTGGAACACCTCACCCAGGAGGCGCCCAGTTCAGTTTTATTTATACAGCACCAATATACAGCACCAAATCACAACAACAGTCGCTTTATAACTAGGGCTGGGTATCGTCACTGATTTCTAGAATTGATTTGATTCCGATTCACAAGGTCCTGAATCGATTCGATCCACGATTCGATTCAATTCGATTTGAATCTGGGAAATTTTGCCTCAGACAGTCAGAAATATTATAATTCAGATCAGTACATTTACATATTTTTTTATCTATAAAAAGGAAGCTGACACTTGCGAGACTTTATCACAGGTGTGAGCATCACAGCAGAGGCCTTTGTGTCAAAGCAGCTGAAGATAAAACACAGAAAACATGGAGGTGATTTTCCTGGCCTGAGATTTTATAAAAATATTCTGCAGTACATCAAAAACGAAAGAAAATCATTAATCAACTTATGAACATTACCTCTGACGTTACAGCGGTTTTATTAGAGACACAGCTGAGCGTTTTGCATTTTGCATAATTTTAAAAAGTTTAAATTTGTTCAGAAGCCTGTTGAACGGCAGAAATTAGGTTTTCTTTTTGGAAGTAAGTAAAAGGAAAAAAAAACAGCAGCCGTCAGCGCTGTAAGCAACGGTAGTCTTGTGCATAACAAGCAAGCGAATAATGCAGAAAACAGATTTCAGGGATAGACGGGAAACTGTTCTTGAAGTATACAGAGAGAGAGAGAGAGAGAGAGAGCTGTGCATGAAGTGTGATTTTATTGTGGTGGAAGCAAAACAGCAAAAGTCAGAGGGAGTCCATGACGATGTTTATGTGAAGCGTAGTTTGGATCTTCTTTTGCTGCTGGTTCAGTCAATATTGTCTGGAGAGACATCAAATTAACAGCTTTAGAATCAGCGCAAAAAGGGCGTAAACACAAAGCGCGGACCCGCCGACACATCAGAATCAGCGAGCTGTCGGCTTTCAGCCCCGACCGTGTCCGTGCCGTCAGGTAAGAAAGGCGACATCTCACTGATTCTGATCCGCAGGTCCACGCTTTGTGTTTACGTCTTTGTGCAGAATCCGTGTTCCTGCTCTCATTTACTGTTTTAAATGTTTGGTGGTTGTTGAAATTTTGTGACGTTCTACCTGAGATTCTGGAATTTTGGGCAAAATACATTTATATAAAAAAATCGATTCAGGATTTTAATGAATCGATATTACGTTATCAAAGCCAGAATCCATTTTAATCGATGAATCGATTATTAAAACCCACCCCTATTTATAACGCCTATGAGCAAGCAGTTTGGTGACAGTGGGAAGGAAAAACTCCCTTTTAACAGGAAGAAACCTCCAGCAGAACCAGGCTCAGGGAGGGGCGGGGCCATCTGCTGTGATTGGTTGGAGTGAGAGAAGGAAGACAGGATAAAGACATGCTGTGGAAGAGAGACAGAGGTTAATAACAGATATGATTCAATGCAGAGAGGTCTGTTAACACATAGTGAGTGAGAAAGGTGACTGGAAAGGAAAAACTCAATGCATCATGGGAATCCCCCGGCAGCCTACGTCTATTGCAGCATAACTAAGGGAGGATTCAGGGTCACCTGGTCCAGCCCTAACTATATGCTTTAGCAAAAAGGAAAGTTTTAAGCCTAATCTTAAAAGTAGAGATAGTGTCTGTCTCCTGAATCCAAACTGGAAGCTGGTTCCACAGAAGAGGGGCCTGAAAACTGAAGGCTCTGCCTCCCATTCTACTTTTAAATACTCTAGGAACAACAAGTAGGCCTGCAGAGCGAGAGCGAAGTGCTCTAATAGGGTGATATGGTACTACAAGGTCATTAAGATAAGATGGGGCCTGATTATTTAAGACCTTGTATGTGAGGAGCAGGATTTAACAGGAAGCCAAAACAGGAGAAATCTGCTCTCTCTTTCTAGTCCCTGTCAGGACTCTTGCTGCAGCATTTTGGATTAGCTGAAGGCTTTTCAGGGAGTTTTTAGGACTTCCTGATAATAATGAATTACAGTCGTCCAGCCTGGAAGTAATAATTGGTGACTGTTATGATTTGGTGCTGTATAATTAAAATGGAACTGAATTAAATTGAACTACAACTCCTGAGTAAACTAACATAGCCTCACAGAAAAGGTTTCAGTTAGATGGCGCAGGTGGGCAGAGCTCTGACCTCACTATTTAAAATTTCCGGACAGGACGATAGAGAAAAGCTTATCTTCTTTTCGCAGTGAGTAGCAAAGTTAAATGTTGCCATTGTGACCACCAGCTGAAATTGTACTGTCATTGGCAGGGATGCAGCAAGCATCCATCAACCTGACTCAGTCTCTGCACGAAGTCTATGAACCCGACTGGCATGGAAAGGATGACGTCCTGACCATCGGGAAGGTCAGAGTCATAAAAACATCCCAGGGTACAGAAGAACACCAAAATCCACCTGAAATATGTACCATAAACCTAGGTTTCTATTTTCTGCAGGACTGTGATGCATTGTGGGAAGACTTCCACAACAAGCTGGTGGACTCGACACTACTAAATCTGGATGCATACCTGCAGCAGTTTCCAGATCTCAAGGCAATCAGCAGTTTGGTTAGGGAATGATTTTCTGAAATGGATGCATGTCATGAAAGCTCAACTTCTTTTCGTTTCAGACCCGTGTCGCCAAAAGAAGCCGCAAACTCATTGACTATGACAGTGCCCGACACCACATGGAAACCATGCAGACGTCTGGGATGAAGAATGACCGCAAGATGATCAAAGTGAGTCATTTCATGTGTAGACGGACATTCACAAGATAAAGGATCAGCTGTTTCCTGTTACCTGTGCAGCTGTTGTATCTGTGCAGGTGTTTTGTAGTTGATTTAATCATGAACTTTGTCTGTAGGCAGAGGAGGAGCTCAAAAAGGCACAGAAGGTGTTTGATGAGTTGAATACTGGTCTACAGGAAGAACTGCCAACTCTTTGGGATCGGTGAGTTTTGACATAGCATGCTAGGTTTGAGTGGGCAACTAAAATTTCAGGGTGAGTAACTTATAAGAAAAAAGGTTAAAGCTCCTGAACAACGAGCTCCTGGTTTGAGTCTGGATTTTAATGCTGACATCTTAGAGAAGACTGCTTTTGTACATGATCCCTGATAGATTGAACAAGTTATTATTAAAACACTGATTAGTTCCAGGCCATATGTAGCAACCTGCGATGGTTTCTACAGCTACTCTTAGTACCATTGATGTTAAGTTAGAC